TTTTAGTCCGATCTTGTACGGCACTCCGCGACATCAAACGCGCGACATGACGAATTGGCTGCAGTTCATTCATTCTCTTGAAAATCGGCGGCAGAAAAATGACGAATCGTCATTAAAAAAACGATTAAAAAAACCGAGCCATATAAGAGCCATTGAACGACTCGTGACTATGCTGTGTTAGTACATTATTAATAACAGTAATATTACTTAATGTTAATATTAATGTTACTAATAACGGTGCAACTGTTAGCTTCTTCGTCTTTGGGATTCCGTTGAGGAATCCCTCGGAATACTGAGCCTCTCTGCCACGTCAAGGCCGTACCCATTGGAGGGGTTATCGTTTATAAAAATTCTTAAATTTAAAGGAATAAATTACGTTAAATATATATATACTCTGTTAGAGATTCGTCATTTCGATATGCTTACAAGTCGTTAATCACGCATGTTAAGAAGCATTTACTATTACATTCATAAAATATAATTTGGTATTATTTAGCATTGAAGAAATGCGAAGAAATACGGAACAATGCGTATTGCGATCCACCCCTATAAACACCGGTGATATAATGGAGCGCTCATAAACACGTGATGTACCAGCCGCGGCACATAAATTCAACTAAACAGTCTGGCTATGACGAAACATAACGGTTTCAACGTTTATAACAAAATTATATGTATATAAGGTATACATCTTTTCATTGGGCTTTGCACACAGGAGGAACAGGAATAAATATTAAATTTTGAAAATGAAAATTTGGAGTAACGTTAATTAAGATTAGTAATTATGTGAGATTTTAGTGGCAAGATTATATAATATGTGATGTAAATATTTTATATACAAATATATAATATTAAAAAATAAATGGCGCGCGCGAAGCGCGCGTTTTGTACTGTTATAGTATTCTTAAGAAATATAAGGTAAGATTTTGTTTCCGTTTGAAACCTCAAACGCACACAAATCAGTGAATACGAAGTTACGGACGGACGGACCTGTTATGAATGTTCCAACATTCAATATCGCGATATCAAAGAGCATTGCGAGATCCCGCGCAAAGGAATTCTCTTTAATCCTACCGACAAAGAATAAGTGAGGCATACAAACTCCAAGGAAACCGGCGAAACAAAACGTTCTCTTGGAAATTGCCAAGAATTTCACTGTTACGCACGTCTTACTAAAATTTCAATCGCAGAAAATAACAATCTAAATAAATTAAGTCAAGGCCACGATAATCTATAATTTAAGCAGAGAAAGCATGTATTTTCTCCTTTTATACATTTTTAGACAAAATTAATTAGTCACATTTAATTTTTATATTATAATCAGTCGCATATAAGCATTAATTCTTTTTAATAGCTAAATTAAGATATACTATATAAAGTAGTCCGTTTCACGCATGGCACGCGCGCGCATGTGGATATAAAATGAAAAATAAACAATCAATTTGACTATTACCAAATTTACTGTTAAAAGCGTTACATACATATTTCCAACATTATTTTAATTAGCAAATTTTTTATGCAAGATATTTATATTATATATATTTTAATTTAAAATAAATATTTGTGTTACACGAATGTGATCAGTAGATGATTTATAGTGTTCAATAATGTGTAAATAATTTATAATAATTTTTTTCAATAGCAGATTACTTATGAAATCTGCAAAAAGAGATATATCATTTCTAATAATTCGTCATACACGTCAGCGTGATGATCGATCTGTCGCGATAATTTTCGGAGACTGTTTTCCTTCCTATCCACCGATGCCTTCCTTGATCATTTTCCAGCTCGGTGATTCTCTCGATCAAATAATACTTCGCGTTCCACGCGTTGCCGACGATCACTTACACGAACGAATCCTTTGTGTTTCACCCACGTATATGCGTGCGCCAATATGGCGACGTATCACAGGTCGCACGTTGCTGACTTTGAAGCAGGTAGATACGTCCACGTGCCGACACGTGCCGACACATCGACGGATACAAACTCAATCCCCCCATATCACGTGCTGGCAATTCACGATGTCGAAACGTCGATCTGTTGCACGATAATAAAACGGGGCGGCTCGCTTAATCTGATAAAAAAATATTAAAGGAAAAATTAAAAAGAAAATATTTTTAAGTATCTTTTAAATATTATACACCGATTTAATTCCACCATGTGTTTTATATATTTCATATTTTTATTATTTGCTGTTTTATTTATACTTTCTAAATAATTATTAGATTGTACATGTAAGAATTCGATCGGTTTTAGTATTTTATTATGAATAGTATTTTATGCAAGGTATGATATTTTACATGAAATAATGTTTATACTATGAAACTACTCGATGATTGAACCTCGCGTCTTCTTACAACATTTAAGAATACTATCGGCGACGATGATCTGCCGATTCACTCTTCGGTGTATATCGAGATAAGAGATAAATTCGGCCAGGAAACATGAGATCTTAACTGGTCGGTCTCGTGACATCAAGCCCTCCTCCCCCCATCTGTCCATTCGTTCGTCCGTCCATTGGTTTGTGTGTCCATGTTGCTCAGCGGGTGCCATCACCAGTTCTGCACCCTCGCATCCGTCATATAACGTTGTCTCTTCTTTTATTACCACCGATAAATAATTTCAAGCAAAGACAAGAGACGTCTTTCAGATCGGAAAGCAGTTTAAAACAGCTGATCACTTGTATAATGTTTAGGGATCTCTTATTGGAGTGCCAGGAGCCTTTGCATAAGATTGATGCCTTACTTGATATGAATGTTGCTTTCAGACAACTGTAAAACTAGCAGCTGCTTCAAAATCTACGAGACATAGAACTAAAAAAATAAAGAAATTTAGCATACAACAGAATTTAAGTCGTAAATATTGTACGAAAAGAATGAATATATTGATAGATTGATGGTGAATTATATTCAACAGCATCTCTTTCTTGTTCCGTGTTGCAGGACTCGAGTCTCAAGTTCAGGATTCCAAGGACCTCTATTGGTTCTAGGACCGAGCGTTGGAGATCGGCAGGAGTCATGCGGTTTCCTTAAATTCAGAGGACGACTGAAGGACTGACATTAATAAGAAAATTTAATAATACGATCTAACGATGCGGATCGTGAAGACGCGAATGCAACCGGAACGAGGACTTTGTTAAGCGAAAATGACGATCGAGTGTGCTCGTCGTTGTCATGTACATAGTGTTACCTACATCTTTTAAGAATCTACTATTAGCGTAAAATAGATAGTATTAGATGAAAACTTGCGCGCACTATATTACCTTTATAGTGACTGCTGGCGTCGAGGAGAAAGATTGGCCATAAGAATGCGACCGAGACTTTGGCTGGTACAGTAGCGTAGTGCGATCTAGACCTAAATCGAGGCACACCTAAATTTCCCAAATAATTAATATGTGTCTTCGAGTTTATTATTTAAAAATAAGTCTCAGTTCATGAACGTATTGTTTCACTAAAACGCAATGTCTAAATGATAACAATCTAAATGATTCGAAAGTCTAATAAGAATAAAATTGAATTTGAAGAGCTTGACCTTTTATATGCAAATTAAGATCGCTACTCGGAATGTAAAAATAATTATTTGGCAAATTTAGCTGCCGATTTAAGTAAAGTATTTATTGACCAATGATCTTGCCATATATATATATATATAAATATATTATTATTAATTATTATTACTATTATTATTATTATTATTATTATTATTATTATTAATGTATCATAAACAATGAGCGCCGCAAATATTCTGAAATCTCCCCGAGTTAGCGAATTAAAATAGTTATTATCCGACGAATCAACTATATTATTCTTTGCCTCCTGGCTGCACCCCTGGCATATCTTATCTCTCTTCATCTCTCTCAAATCTTTTCCACCTGCTACTTCACCGTTTAGTATCTGTCCGGTATAATCACAATCATATTGCCTACATTAAGCACATCGTATCCATCTCATGTTATCGCCTGTCTAATTGTTAAATAAATAATTCTCATATCACATTATTTGCTTCTTCTATTTACCATCGATCTTATTTTTTCTTTAATCAAAATCAACGTTTCTTTAAATCTTTTATGATTTTTGGATTTTTTTTTACATTTTTAATTTTCTTGACTTCTGAAAGCAATTATTTCTGTGAATTAATATAATATTGCATAAATGAAAGTAATGTTTATTATTTTTCTAGCTAACGATTTGTTAATTTATAAATTTATTTTTTTAATTTTATTTTATGGTTATTATTAGCTTTATTTGATTAGTTCCTAAAAGCGGTTTTTACTGTATAAAACAGGATTTTACACTTCCGCGGTTCGTTACGCTCATGCGGGTTAATTACACGCCGTTAAATTTAGTGGTGCTTTAGAAGAGAAAGTTAATCGAGCACGTAATAAGAACAGGATGTTCAATCTACTCTTTCTGCCTAACTGCAGATTTCCATCTTGTCTTTTGAAAGACGCAGGTAAGCAAAGTGTTGTGTAAATTGTAACATTAAATATTAAAGTTTTGACATTAAGATTCAGTCATTAATTCTCTTTTATCCATATTTATGCTTCTTATGGAGAGATAAATTTTCGATTAACAGAAAGTACGCAAAGAGACACTTTGTCTGCCCTTTGTCTGTTTTACAAGAAAACTTGATGTTCTGCATGCATCGTAATAACTTACGAGAGTATTAATTTTAAGCTCGTAACACGTGGACTTGCGCATTTGTTTTCCCGACGCAGGCGGAAGTAACGCTAACGAGATGAGAAAACGAGCAATTAACTTCGTCACTTCGGCTGAGGAGGAAACGCGCAGATAATCGACGCGCGCGTTATCACGTGTAAAGCATATGTTCGTAGTCCGCGCTTGCTCCAAGATAAATGGCATTTAGTAAGTTATTACTGTCATGAGTTTTTATCGTGCATTGACTTAGCGATGTAAGATCGCGTCAAAACAAATGTCAAATTTTGCTACAAAGAATTAATCAATCTTAATGCTCCGAAACACAAATTTTTCTCTTTAATATAAAAAAATATGAAAGGTGATTCAGTTTTTCAGATTGCCTCGTCTTAGAAATTTTTTTTTATCTACATTGCAAATAAAATTATATATTTCAAGATAAGCAATCAATAATAAATTATAATCTTATAATTTTTATTCTGCAATATATTAATGAATGAATTGAATTATATTGAGATACGAATGCATAAATTCGATCAATATAATATTTTTTAAAATATAATTTGAAAATGTTTATTGATATATATTGTATTTATATAATAAAAGTGATGTTAACTTATGCGTTATTCTGGGAGTGTGTTTTATCCAGCAATTCAACATGTCGACTTTGGTCGAGACGTCGCTCCGGCAACGTACATAAATCAGTCTGTTCCATTTCTTCTACCATTTCGTATGATCCCTGTGTTTTCTTACGCAATCGTACATATGCCCCGGCTAGACGCGGAAAAACTATCGGCAGGAAGCCACGTGAAACCCACGTGAAGAACGGCGAAATCCCCAGCTTCCTGATTTTCATCATCTTTTTTAGATGTACCTAATCAAAATAATTCTATTTTATACAGTAAGAGAATAATATTAAACTAAAATTTATTATAACAAAAGTTTTGTGTATTATATATGTAAAAAAATACAAAAACAGATTTTATATTTATGTTTTTGTCAATTATATTTTTGATTATTTTAACAATCACTATTAAAAATAAATTTAAAATTGATAAAAATTAATAAAATCCTATAATCGTTCAAGAAAACATTTACATTATTTGTGTTATTTACATTATCAATAGTTTATTATCTTCTCCTGTGCAAGATTTATGTAACATTGAAATCTCGAAACGTGATTTTTGGAATGCATTTAAGCCGAGTCTACCACGAAATAACTATGTGTTTGCCGAAGAAATATCTTTTGTAACGTATCTATCTTGTCTGGCTTGTCTTGCTTTATGAACGGTAGTTAAGCCTTGTAATGACGATGAAACGTTGTTTCGTTGTTGTCTTATAATCTCTAATCGAATTCCAATTTCAATAAACAGTAGCCGCCTATAAATTCAGCATATAACAAAATAAATTCTCATACAGCAACCGAGAGTCTAATCTCGATTCTCGGATAAGAAGAAAACGGTCGACATATACGGTGATCATTTTTTTTTAAATTAAAAATAATTTTGTTAACAAAAGTTGAATAAAAGAAATTTGTATGAATAATTAAATTACACATTTAAACTTACAAGTTTACAATATAAATTTTGGTGGTATAAATTAGCGTCCATGTCATGTTTTTCAAAAGGTACGAACAAAGAAGATAATAGTAGAATCACCCTATATGTACAAGATGAAAAAGCTAAAAAAAGATAAAGAAGGGAAGAAGAAAGAGCTAAATTTATTGCCAGTCTCTGAAATATACTAGTAGCTACAGTAATTATTATCAAACTGATGTTTTATTTGATCGATAATTTAATCACTAAAACTCTTGAAATCGCATCTACAAATTATTCTTTCTTATTATCATGATTAACATTATTGAAGCAAGAGAGATAAAATAACGGCATTTTGAGTCGATCCATCGATCCATTAAATTTTATAAATATTTGAATATACCGTATATATTTTGTTGGAAAATTTATATCTAAAATAGAATATTATTATTATGTAGAAATAACTTATTGAATATTTGTATGATAGAAATATCGAAAGTATTAGGTATTTGCACAATAAATAATCAAACACTTGCGTGGATCACCCCTCAGTTCGTGATAATAATTAAATACCGGATACACGAGCTCCCCTTTTATCGTAACCTGTGGGGATAATATCGAGGGGTTCGAGTTGTCGATATTGCACCAGTGCAATAAATAGCTCGACCGTGCATATGAATATTAATTTTATTTTTTGAATTTCTCAACCATTTGTCACATGTCAACGTTCGAAATTTCCGGCAGCTGCATAAGTTAAGAACCTTTGTGGTGAACAAAATTAAAATATGCGTAACTTTGATCCTTTATCCTATTAGTTAGCAAAATAATCATCCATCGACTTTTTTTTTTAGATAAATTTTTCATATTTATCGAATTTTCCTAAAATATTTTTGCCAGATATACGTGTATCGAACATAAATAAGAATTCACACGTGGCGAGGATGAAAATGAAGAAATAAAAATATCAGAAGCTTCTTCCTTCAGTTTATCGAAATTCCTGGTTTACCCAAAATTACCATCGGCTACAATATACCTTCGTCTCTACCCTGGACCCCACGTGATATCAGCGTCTTCTCCCACGAAATAGATTTATGATCGGGGAAATATAGGATCTCTCCTTGTTCTGGGCCTTTCCTTCACCCATTCTTCTACCACCAACGCGCTATCCACGGTAGGAATTCCCTATTACATAAACGAGCCGCGTTGTGTTCTCTCGTACATAGAACAGGGACATTCGGCTATCTCTCGTGGCTGACATAGGCGTAGATAAACGCATAGATACAATCGCGGTCATGCTGACAGAAGTCTCCGTTTCTCCTTCTCCCCTTCCCGGGCGCGAGAGGCTACCTGCCCTGCGGGAGACCCCTTCACGATAGATCGGAAACGATCACGGTAGATCTTCGTATAGTCGACCTGGATCATCGAGGAATTAGGGAGCATGATTCAACATTTCATGGCATCGCGATCCTCAAGGGCTGAGGAATGGAGCCGGTCAACTATGTACGATCTGCGGGACATCTTTTCCAAAGACGGAAGACCGGAAGCTTCTGGTATCCCCGTTAAACTCGTTGTATATCACGATGAAATTATTTTGCTTATTTTTAAAAGATTTCGAAATATACAAATACAATTGAAGTAAAAAATATTTCAATTAATCATAAAATAAAATAAAATATTTTTTATTGATAAAGTTTATAATCATCACTTATACAATAATAAAATTTGTACACTTATGCAATAATAAGATTTGTAGCCGTAAAAAAAAAGTTATTTTTCGTTTATTTTATTATTTTTTTTATTAAGTTATTTTATTTTAATTATATTTTTTTCTAATTATAAAAACATTAATTTAATATTCATTTGCAAAAGCGATTTTCATAATCGTATTGTTCGTTCATTGAGATACGACGTTGAAGCGATGAGGAATAAGATCTAAGTCAAGAAGGTTGTCCTTCCTCTTTCTCTCGTCGTGCGCCAAGGAGCCGGCAAGCAGCTGCGGAATGTCTTCATTAAAATACTCCGGCTCATCATTTATGCAGAGCAAAAACGCAACGAGGTGAGTACCAAACGGATCTAACGTCAACGAGATTCGCACATCGTACGCGGGAGTTCCTTCAATTTTGCTCTCCATCGTTTTAACGAGAGATACGTTTTTATTTTAATTTACTGACACAACAATAATAGACACAACAATAATAGTAGCTTATAAATTTCCTAATATATAACTTTTTAGGGCTTTATTATCTTATTTTCTTTTATTAGAAATTTGAATTCTGTTTTTTTTTTCTTATATGTTTATTCTTGTAATTAAATGTCAAATATAATTGTAGCAACTTTACAAAACTTTAGTTTTACATTTAATTACAAAGATATTTAATTTCTAAATATAAAATTATAAAAAATTAATTAATTTGTACAATAATTCTCTATTATTAGATCACTGAGGTGAGAATACTAAATGGTTCAAGGATAAATATCACTGAGAGCCTTTATTGTTTGGCTAAAAAAGAATTCAGAGCAACAAAGTGATTTATCGTCTTGCGATTATCCAAAGCGTATCAGCATAACAATAGTTACGCGGGTGCATCGCCAGGCGCACGTGGATTCCATTTAAGAGAGTTTGGGCAGACCCGAAGATCCCCCTCGTTTTCCGGTCACGTCTCATTTGGTACATTCAGCGTATCGCGTTAGGGTTCGTCATTCATTAAAACGCTCCTGCGAGGAGGCAGGTGCACAATGATTCGCGAAAAATTACGTGAAATCAACTGCATTATTGAATCGGGAACTAAATCAAAAAATTTCTCAAATATTTGCTTTATCCAAGACGCACGAATATTTTCGAATATTTTATATAAATTTAATAATCATTTTTCCACTTAAATTCTTGTGGCAAAAAAAAAAATGAATCTCAAATATCAGATAAAAAGTACGCTTTATGACATTTTGATACGATACGCAAGATATTGAGTTATGATCCAAGATCAAACCTCGATTCGATCGATGACGCGACGCGTCGTACAGTCGCGCGCTCGACAAAGGCCGAAAAAATCTCTAGGAATGCCGACGGGCATTTTTCGGCGGTGTCACCTCAGAGAGGGCTCGATGCTTCTTCTTCCACCCTTTCGCCCTCTCTTCTCTCACACGTCTCCGTGTGCGCTCGTACGCTCGTTTTGTTTCCCCCGTACTCCGTGTTCCTTGGCTGCCCGACTCGTCTAGGC